GTAGTATTTTATTTTTTCATCTACTTATAATAGTTGAAGCTAACTTAAAGGATACCCAAAATAATAAATAACCGTTATAAAGGAAAGGTACCTTGATGGAGCGCGTAATTTTAAAATAAATTAGAAAATTATTATATTTTATAGGTATTAATCTACAATAATAGAAACAATTATCAAAACATTTAATTACCTTGAATGTGTTTTGACCTTTCTCCTCATCTATAAAAGGAGCACAAATTCCCCTTTCAAGGTGTTTTCTATCAGTTAAAATTATAAAGTTTTGTGCATAATTGTTAGATAAAGAGAATAAGTGAATTAGAGAATTAAAACTTTTTTTTTAATAGGTCTCTCAATCACGCTATGACTACATTATCTCAGAATGGTATGTAACTATAACTTTATGTTATCTTTCTAAAATGTGTTGAATTCAATAAAAAAATAATTTCAACATAAAAGTTTCTTACACTTAAACCCAAGATTCAAAGGCCCTTTGGTCTTGATCAAAGGGAACAGTCCAAAAGAGTGACCCAAAGTCCAAACCGAGTGTATCCAATGAGCTTGAGCCCAACTTCAGTCTTTAAAAATCAAGAAAAAGTAAAGTTGTGCCCGATAAAGAAAGGCAAGCTTCAGCCAAGCTTGTTCTTGGCTCTTAGCCCACATGGCCAATAAGGGGAAGGAAGAGGAAGGTCTGCCCATACGGTTAAGCCTTGTTTCTCCTTGGTCTTTCTTAAAAGGCTCGATCTTGAGGAAAATTCCAACTTCATAGTTCACGAGAAGAAGGAATAAGAAACTGAAGCTGAAAATCAATCGACCAAGAAGGTTCTTATAAGAAAAAGGCCTGAAGGTCGATAGAGAGAAAAAGATCACAAAGTGGAGTTCAAAATCGAGAAGGAAAGACCTTTTCTTTTGCCATTACAGTACCAAAATCGAGATGAATTCCTCTTCCCCATGGAAGTTTCTATGCTAGAAGAGTTAGTCATAAAGAAGGAAACATAATTCCAAGAGAGAGAAATAAGAATTTAACAAAAGGACATCGAAGCCCTTCACCAATCAAATAAGATTACCCTATTCTTGTTGAATTCCTATTCCATTCTTTACTCAAAGTCTCACAAATTCCAGGATTCCTACTCAAAGTCCTCTCAAAAAAATATAAAAGAAAGGAAAGATTGAAGTTGAAAGAACTATGGAGAGTTAACCCGATGAGGAGACTCATTCGGCCATGTGAGAGAAAGTTTCTTAAATTAGTATTTTGAGTATTACTTTTAGATTATTTTTGGGTTATTTTAGTATTTAATTTAAGTTTCCTAATATAAGAGGTATTAAAAGTTTAAGTTAGATTAAGGTTTATATTTTGAATAGGATTCATAAAATAAAAGCATATATAAAGGCTTCACCATTAGTCTTTTAACAAAAATTCAGAAACTTAATAAATTATATTATTCAATAGACCTTGAGTTTATTATTTCCAATTAGTTTTGCTAATTTGAGAGTGAGTGATCTTCAAGCAGATTGCTTCAACCATCTTATCGAGTTGGAAAATTTGAATCAACTTATCAAGTGAGTCCTACTGTCTTTTGTATTCCTTTAATTTTTTCTGTTACTTTAGTTTGTATTCAATTGTTGAGTGTAGTTCAAGTAAGGAGAGCTAATTAAGTAATTAAGTTTCTGATTGTATATGTTTGTGTGAGGTTCCAAAAGTCAAAACGATCCTTTGAAACCCCTCTTGCGTCAAAGACTCCTCCTTACTTTATCCTCTTAACTTAATGAGTAAATAATTTTTGTATGTAATTCATATTGTCCTTACTCTATGTTCTTGACTTAATAAGGTGATTACATAACTTTTCCATTTAGTTCACACACCCCTTTATTGTATCTTTTATTTGTGGTAATCTTTCGACCAATGAGAAATGGTTAAGTGAATTAACGTCTATTATATTTTAATACTTTTTTTCAAGTTCGTAAGCTTAAGGCATTTTTCACATTTCTTTTAAGAGAAAATATCTTTTCTCTAAGAGCAAATTTTCAAGTTTCTCTTAAACTTCTTTCCCTCTTCTGTTGTCTCTTCTATCCATAAGGAAATACTTTCTAGATTTTTAAAATTTTTCTTTCTGTCCTATTCCCTTTCCTTTTTTTCTCTCCAATTTCGTCACTTTTTCAATAACATTGGCCTTATAAGACATAAATCTTTAATATTTCTTAATGGTGCATTATTCTCTCCTCCTTTTTATTATAAAAAAAAGTAAGATATTGAAGAATGAATGTATGACTTGTCATATATACAAGGCAGAAACAAAATGTTTCAAAATCTAAAACATAATTCTTGACATTTTACAAGCATGCAATAGTGACCTACTAAGTATTCCAGGTATAAATAAAGTATTTTATTGTTTGAATCTTAACACTCTTAAGAGTCATAATATGCATCCTATAACAACTCTACATATATATGTACACATATATAAATGTAACGCATTTACAACTCTTATCCTACAATACTTAAACATTATAAGAATAGTGCAGATAATTGCTCATGTAGATAAAATTTCTGAAGTCATAGCACATAGAGAGATGACATTTTAGAGTTCAAGAGCAATAAATTTAGATAATGTGTCTGACACGTTAGAAGCATCAGATAAACACAATATAAATTTATAAATATTATAGAAACAAAAAAGTGTTCATCACATCACAATTAAATTGCAGGTATAACAAATCCATAAAGCATGACACTTATATATTCTATGGTTATACAACATTCACAGTTAAAAGGGAAAAAAGTGTTCATTGGTAAGGATACTAATTCCCATGAAAGTATTTGTATAATCTAAATACACATTAATGTCTTTTAGGTCTTAACTCATCTACTATTTCTAGACTTAATATGCAAGAATTTATTTTTCGTACGGAAACAATTATGGACATCTCACATCATGGAGAGGCATAAAATTTTTTAGTGGCAGCTTTTAACACATAACTTTTTAGGAATCTCTAAAGACTAAAGGAATAATGTATGTCCTTTTTGCAACATACAAGAAGAATCTTATGAGCAGATATTTTTACAATGCCAAATTACTCAAGTGTTTTGGTTATGTTCAAAATGGAGACTTAAATTCAACGCTCTAAGTGCTCATTCTATAAAGGATTTCTTAACCTATATTTTTCAATTTATAGATGCACAGCAAAGATGGTACCACCAGTATACAAGAACCTTTAACATTTGCCTCAATCATAATATATCATGGATAGACATGAGGAAATATTATCATTTTCCTATCAACATAAAACACAATAAATCTAATCAGAATAAAGCATTGCGAATGGAAGATGAATGCACTAGCATCTATTGTGATGTTGCAATAAATTGCACTAGTGCATCGATTTTATATATATGGAAAACTAATGAGTATAAATATGTTTGGATATAACTGAATAATACGATTAACCTTCTTGTTACAGAAAGCGAGACCATTCTTTTTTGTTTAATGAAAGATAAGGACAAAAATATGAAGAAGATCATGATTCTGAAGGACTCTAACTCGCTATCAGCTCCTACAAACAACATAATGAGCAACCATATTAAAGGATTGAGAAAATTGTTTCTAAAGCAAATGCTTTCTATAAGTACTTTAACCTTTATTATCTTAAAATGGATCAATCAAGTATTAGACTGTCAACCCTATAATCTATCTAAAAATTAGATTTAGGATCCTGTAATAATTTTTCTTTATCATCTCCGTAAAAAAAAATAATAATAATAATAATAAAATATATAAATATATTCAACTTGTAGAAGTATAAAACTTTTACTTAAATGCGTTCTAATCATATTAATTATATTGCTATAATATTTTTAAAAATATTATCACCACCAAATATTATATATGTACAACACGTGCAACATTATTTTAGGAACAACAATAAATGTATTAACTTACTATGTTTTTGATAATAACAAATGTAAAGAAAAAAATTAGAAAAAGAAAAAAGAGTTTCGAGATTATCACCAAAGAGTCTTTTTCTATGATTTATAATCACATCAATATATGTAGAATAAAATATTTCAAAAATAAAATTAAAAGTGTTATTAAGACATGTATCGACATTTTTAGATTTGACCAGCCATAAACTAAGCCTCATAAGGTGCCATCTAAGCTTTTTTCTATTCAAAAAGTTGTTTGCATGACAACATTTTGTCTACATCTTCGTCTGCTTTTTCTTGTTTGCTTCTTAGGTTTTCTTTTTTCTTTTTTTTTTTTTTTTTTTGGTCATTGGCAACACCTAGGTCTATCTACTATTAATGTACATATGTATATACACCCATACGTAATTATATATGTATATATATATACAGATAGATAGGAGGGGAGAGGGAGAGAGAGAAACTTATTGTCTTCTTTTTAACCTTCTAAAAAGATTATATAATTTAAAATTTTAGTTATTTAACTGGTTTAATGGTATAATATTTTTATTACAATTTACACATTGAGTTCAAATTTTAATTTATTAATTAATTATATTCTTAAATAATTAATTTATATTATTTAAATTATATAAAATTTGTTAATTATTACTTAATTGAATTGTTGTTATGTCTTTTCTTCTTATTCAAATAAATTTATATTTTTATGTATTTTTTTAAAATTTATTTTTGTTAGGTTATGATTAATATATATGTATTATTTAATTTATAAATATATTAAGTAATAATTCTCGTTATCGAAATTAAATTTTAACAAACAAATAAACTAATTATTAAGTAATAATTCTCTGTCAAAAATAATAAATTAATTAACTATTGAGTGTTTGTTCTTTGGCACTTTGATTACTAATTAAATTAGTGAATATATTGAGGGAATATATCCTATAATATCATCCTTTATTAGCGCATAATCTTTTTTATTTTTATTTAAAAAAAAAAGAAACAAAAATATTTTTTTCCAAAGGAAAATAGTTAAATTGCTTTTTCTATTAAATCATGCCCCTTGCACATTTTCTTTTTTTCATTTTCTTTCTTCCTTGCATATACATATACATATACACATACACAAAAGAGAAGCAGCAAAAGAGGTAACTGGAATTTCACGCACGACCGCCATGACTGCTCATCTTCTTCAACCAGCTTCTTCAATCCTGATACTCACTCTTCTTCTCTGCGCAACAATGGCGTCCAGCGACTGCACGTGCGACCACGAGTCAACATCATCCGATCATAAATCTTCAGCACTAGCATACAAACTAGGTTCCATAGCAATAATTCTCGTAGCCGGCGGCATCGGAGTCAGCATCCCGTTGTTGGGGAAGAAGATGATTCCGACCTTAAATCCAGAAAACGATATATTCTTCATGGTGAAAGCATTTGCCGCAGGTGTTATTCTGGCAACTGCGTTTATTCATATCCTCCCAGATGCTTTTGAGAACTTGACGTCATCTTGTTTGGGAGATCATCCGTGGCGGAGTTTTCCGTTCACTGGTTTTTTTGCTATGGTTTCCGCCATCGGAACTTTGATGATTGACTCTTTGGCTACTGGGTATTACAGGAGACAACATTTGAAGAAGCCTAAACAGGTTAGTGTTGCAGATGTTGATGAGGAGAGGATGAACATAGATGAACAGACAGGTGCTGGTCATGTTCATGGTCATGGTCATGGTCATCATGAGTCTGTCTCACCATCGCAGGAACTGGGTCTCCCGGAGGTAATCCGACGCCGTATTGTATCGCAGGTAAGTATTAATTTCTTTGTTTTTTGAAGAAAAGAAGCAATATTTTGGTAAACAAATTAAACTGAAGTAGGGTAAATTGAGAAGAAAATCTTGTAATAGTAAATTTAATTTGGTAACTGGTCTGAACTCATTTTGTGCTCCTATTCAATACCTAAAGATTAATTATTTAATACATGAAAATTAGACATAGAATGGATAATTAAACCAATATGTTTAACCTTAACTAACCTCTACGGGAGTAAATGATTATATTAATTTACAAAATTTAACATTTAATATAATTTACTTAATTTGAAACTGTACAGGTACTGGAGGTAGGAATCGTGGTGCATTCAGTGATAATTGGGGTATCTCTGGGTGCTTCAGTCAGATCTGATACCATAAGGCCTCTCATGGTAGCTTTGTCTTTCCATCAATTTTTTGAAGGGATGGGACTCGGAGGCTGCATTTCTCAGGTATATATGCCTTTTAGAATTTTTAATTTAATTAAATTACTATTTTGATGAATGTTTTTGTTTTTTGTTATTCAATAAGAAAAAAAAAAGAAATTTACCCAAAAATATAAAAAAAATAAAACAAATTAAATTATTGTGATTTCTTTGGATCAATTGGGGTGAGTGAGTGGAGAATGTTACCATCATGACGACACCCTCTTTAATTTACATTATAATTTAATTTGTTTATTTTAAATAGCATATAATATCAAATAAATCTCACCATCTACCTTGTGTTTTTTTCTTTATAGAGAAAAGAGTTACTACATGTATATATATATATATATTCTCTTAAATTTTATCTGTAATTTAAAAATAAAATTATAAATTAAACGTTGATTTGTATGTAGGCAAAATTCAAGTCTCGATCTACAGCGATAATGGCAATATTTTTCTCACTAACAACGCCTGTGGGAATTGCAATTGGAATAGGAATTTCAAGCATTTACAACACCAACAGCGCGGCAAGTATGGCGGTAGAAGGTGTTTTCAATTCGGCTTCATCTGGAATCTTGATTTACATGGCTCTTGTTGATTTACTAGCTGCAGATTTTATGAACCCTAGATTACAAAATAACTTAAGACTACAATTAGGAGCTAATTTTTCACTTTTACTAGGAACTGGCTGCATGTCTGTACTGGCAAAATGGGCTTGAATAATCACTTCCAATTTTGGCTCTTTAGGTGAATAATCTCATTTTAAATACTTGCCATCTATTAATTATCACTAATTCTCAAAATTAGTGAATCTTTTCTTAACATGCAAACAACACCCTTTGTGTTATAACCTTAAAGTTTTGTGATTTACCTTTATTTTCTTAAACTAATCCTTATATACAAATGTATTATTTGTGAATATATATGATGGTAGGTAGGGAAGGCAAGTAAGAAATCTTACGATACTCTTTAAGATTTAGCTTACTATTTTACTTCTTCCAATTCTTTACTTACTTTTTCATCTTCTTATTAGCAACATTGCCTTTTGGTTCATCTTTTTTGTTTTAAGTTCAAGTGATGGTATGGTGGCTCATTAGTCTCCGATTATTTGACCATGAATTATTTGAATTTTGTTATTTTTCAATTCATATTCTTTAAAATGTAAAATGCATTATGTTTTCTATATTCACATGTTATTTAAACCCTAACAGTATGAGCACAATAGAAAATAGTAGTCGTACACTTATTATTGTGAATAGTTGTATTATCTTACTCCATTCTTAAAGAAAATTCTTGTGAAGTGTTCAAGAAGGGAATTGGTTACAAGTGTTGGATCCCGAACAAAGAATATAATCAATTGTATAAATTAAGGTAATCCTCAAACTAATTTACCTAAACCAGTAATAATAATAGTAAGCCAATTAATGAAAAATAGAAAAATAATCAGTAAAAAAACAACTAAAAAATTAAAAGCAAACTTAATTTTATGTGAAAAACTCTCTAGCGTAAAATGAAAAACTACAAATCAAGCTAAAAAAAAATCATCAATTAAAATAAAACTGAGTACAAGATAATCCATAGAGAAGAGTAACGAGAGAAAAATTAAGACAAAAATTTCTCTCTCGTGCACGTAAGGAGAGAGAGGAACTCAAAAAAATGATGACCACTCTTGGTGATCGTGCTTGTGATGATGAAGAGAGAGAAATACAATGTCCCTAATTTTCTTTTTTTTTTTGGCCACTTTTATAAATATATGTATATATGTGTATATACATATATAAATACAGCAACCTAACCTTTTTCTCTCTTTGCACACACCGTTCACAAACCCTTTTTTTATTTCTTCC